ATAATGCCCAAAACAGAAAGTCTCTAAAAGCCACTTCATAGCAAATCTCTCAACAGGAGTAAAATACTCTAAAAACAGAACAAAATGGTTAAATCTAGAAGACACAGTACTTCATCTTAAAAAGTAAAAAAGTATTCAAGATATTCCTTTAAAAGGACGGAATAACAAATTTAATTGTGAGCTAATTGTCTATGGAGCAAACAGGCAAGAGAGTTGCCAGCTCACTAGGGTAGATAAGATAAATAAGGTAATATACACCATGAAAAATATATTTCATCAGAAACCAGCTAAAGATTTTTAAATATTTTTGTTATTTTAAAGATTAAAATCCAATTTTCCAAATACCATTTGTTCCTTTAGAGAAATGAAATAATTGAAAACAATGAAAAAAATCTGATCTTGGCCAGTCAAGTTCTTTGACTTAATCAACCTTGCTTCGGAATGAAATTCTTTATCTGTTTTGACACCTTCAGGACATTGCAAATAAATTCAGCAGATATCTTTACAATACAGATCTCTTATTCCTTCTTCCCTACTTCTCCCCCACCCCAAATTAGGTTGCTCCTAATCTTTGTACCTTCTTAGAATCATAGATCATAAAATTATAATTCTAATGGTGGTGGGCACCTTAAAGGTTCTCTAGTCCAACTCCTTTATTTTGTAAACAAGAAAACTTAAGCCCAGAGATATACTGTGACAGAGGCAGGATTGAAGTCCAGGTTCTCTAACCCCAAGTCAAGCCCACTTTTCACTGAAACAAGCTGCTACTCTACCTTATCTGAAAATATAAACTGCCTTGATATTTCCAGTTTTCAATTCCACCTTTACTCTTGACTGTCAGGGCTCTTTAAATAAAAAGAACTGAGACCACAGGCAACTGATGACTCTCCAGGAAAATATCATCCTAACAACAGTGGCTCAGAAAACCATATGTTAATTATAGCACATGCTGCTTCTTTAAAAAAATTTTTTCTTTTTAAACCTTGACAAACAGAAACATTTTTATAAGTGAAGAATGGAGAAGATTGTTTATTAAACTGAACTTCTATTATAGTTTAATGTTATATTAAATTTTTTCAAAAATTATAGACTTGACAAATATCAAACATGAAAATTTTGATTTACAAAGGATATAGAGGATTATATAGGATATAATTATATATTACCAAGAATTACATATGAAATTAAATCTTTTAAGAGATTAAAATTTTTAATAGGAACCATTCTAGAATTGACAAATGGTCAAAGAATATGAATAGATAGTTTTCAGAAGAAAAAAATCAAAGCTATCAATAATCATATTTTAAAATGCTCTAAATCACTAATAGTTGAAGAAATTTAAATTAAAATAACTCTTAAGTACCACCTCACACCCATTGGATCAGCTAAGATGACAGAAAAAGAAAATGACAAATGCTGGAGGGAATGTGGAAAATTGGTATACTAATGGAATTGGTGGAGCTGTGAACTAATTCAACCAACAAGAACAATTTGGAACTAGACCCAAAGGGCTATAAAACTGTGCATAACCTTTAAATCAACAACACTGATACTAGGTCTATACCCAAAGAGATCAAAGGAAAAGGAAAAGGATTCATATATACAAAATATTCATAGCAGTTATTTTCGTGGTGGCAAAGAATTGGAGACTAAAGGGATGCCCACCAATCAGGGAATGGCTCAACAAGTTACAACATATGAATGTGATGAAATACTGTTGTGTTGTAAGAAATAATAAAGGGGATGGTTTTCAGAAAAACCTGGGAAGACTTACATGAAGTGATACAAAATGAAGTGAACAATCTATACAGTAACAGTAATATTGTAAAGTTAATCTACTGTGAGACTTAGTAACTCTGATCAACTTGATGATCCACCACAACTCCAAAGGACTCATGATGTAAAATGTTATCCATCTCCAGATACAGAATGGATAGACTCAGAGAGCAGACGGAAGCATATTTTTTCCTTTTATTTTTCATTTGGGGGGCAGCAAAGAAGGAGGGAGAAACATGGCTAATGCAGAAATGTTTTTAACGGGTATTATATTTCTTGCCTTCTCAATGGGTGGGAAAGGGGCTAGAGGGGAGAAAAGAATTTCAAACTGAAAATGCAAATAACATTTTAAAATAATTTTTTTAAAAAGAGATTAAGGTTTTACAAAAGTATATGTTGAAACTAACACAATAGTAGCAACAAAACTCTTCTGCTTGCCTGTGTCCCTTTCTGAATTTCTTCTCACATTCTACCGTGTATTTTAAAATGTTTCATTGACAGTTTTTTTCTTGGACCACTCTCAGTACCTACCAACTCCATCTGCCCATCCCCATAGAAGCCTTCCCTTTTAACTAATATAATCAAGCAAAACAATCAATACATTATTTATGTCTGTAAATGTATCTCTTTCTGAACCTCTAGCCTATCACCTCTCTTCCAAGAGATGGGAAGCATGTCTTCTTATCATCAGTCATCTAAAATCTTACCTTACAGACTCTTGGCGAGTTATGCATTGATGCCATTGTTGGAATTTCCACATGCTAGAACACTCACCTAAGATAAACTTTTAGAGAGGCCTTTTAACCCCTATTACCTTTACTCATTCGGAACAAGTCATAGTCCCACTAGAAATCTAAATGCTACTTAGTTCTAAGACTAATTTGGAAAATCATCTGACTTAAAAGTTATCTATGTGGCATTCAGATATAATCTGAAGAACATCAAGTCAAGAGAAATAAAATATAAACCCTGTAATATTTCCATAACCCATGGATAAATATTAGTATGTAGTCTTATTCTGTGACTCACTGGATTTTGCCCATTTCAAGTAAAAGTTCTTAAGTATTTTACTAACAGCAAACTTCAACAAGTAAAATACCCAAGTAAGCTCAGAAATGCAGTGCTATACAGAAAACTCTTTCCCTATAGTCCTTACTCTCTTAAAACACTAGTCATTATACAAAGATCTTATTTACTTGATTTTCCTCTAAAGACAAATGAAGTCTCAATAGGAAAACACAGTTTCAGCAACAATTGCTATTTATTAAGTGCCTACTACACACCAGGCATTATGCCAAGGATGTACTGCACTGCTTGAGGCCATATTTTAGACCGCCAATACTAGTATTTATGCATAAACATACATGGGGAAGGGAAATTAAAGCACTTTGTAAGATCTTCAATTTCATACCCACAGCATTAGATGGGCTAAGACTGACTGTCTAGGGAAGGCATCATTATCTTCATTTTACAAAACAAAGAAATTGATGCACAAAGGAAAGAATATATTCTGTGATTCTAAAACTGATAAAAGGAACGAAGATGCTCACTAAATATAAAAAAAGGAATGGTAGAAGACCACTGCTCTCCCACATTTTTATGAACCTGACAGAAAGTTAGAAGCAGTAGATAAGAAATGAAATTGTTAGACCAACATTTAGATCAAGTAATTTATTCTATATAATAAAGGATAATAATACCACTCACTTCACAGGGTTGTTGTGAGGATCAAGTAAGATAATATATGTCAAGTATTTTGCAACTTTAAAACCCTATGTAAATGTTAGATATTATTTTTCATTTTTAAAACATTATTATTCCAAATAAAATTCTGTGGCTTTGAAAAGGCAAAAAAATTTGAAAAATAAAGAGGGCAAAAAGGAAGCATATGAATTAACTTCCTCAAATATGTGACAACCATCTCTCACCAATGACAACAGATGATTTTAAGGCAACTATTATTAGCAGGCAACCAGGAAGTCATGACCAAAGAGGGTGTTTTATAGAAGCCTATTAATTCTAAATTCTGTTTGATTGTACTTGTATAAGGTGAGTCACATTCAACAGGAGGTGAAGTGGGAGTTCACTTCTAATTAATATGGTTTTATTCTCTCCCCTCAAAATTTAAATCTTTGCTGCACATAATATTTTTAAAGGACAAGGGCTCTTAAGCATTCTGCTTTATATAGTACCCTCTCCACCCCCTCATCCTGTCCAGTATTAAATTTATTTATTTACATAACCCAAAAATACAAGAGAGAAGGGAATATTAAAAAAAAATTCAAACCTAGGTGTCCTCCCAAGGCATCTTTCATAAAAGCTTCTTATCAATACTTATCTCCTAGTATCTCCTAGTACTGTTTTCTTTTACTACCCTTCTTTCCCATCATGCATTTCTCCTTCCTTATTTCTAACTGTATCTTCAATCTGACTCTTTTATAGTACTCATCAATATACCGGCACATTTTAAATGCCAAATAAATACCGTTTGACTCTTTTCCACTCTTCCTGATTCATAGTCTAGTGAGAAGAACACTAGCCTAGGAACCAAGAAACCAAAGGTTCTTGACCATGCTCCTCTGTTCTTTTACCTGCATGGCTTTAGAGAGAATGTAAGCTCCTTGGAGGTAGAACTACTTGTTTGTCATCCCTGTATCCTCAGTGTCTAGCACACATCATCTAGCTCAATAATAGTCCATTAGACTGGGAGCTCCTTGAGAGCAGAGACTCTCTCTTGCCTTTTTTTGTACCCCTTTGCTTATCACGGTGTCTAACACAGAGTAGGGATTTAATAAATGCTTACTGATGAACTGCTGTATATTAAATACAATAGGTGCTTAATAAATTTCTGTTGATTGACTGATTTTTCTCATCTCTAAAGTAGCATAGACCACTTCTGCCCTTCCTACCTCACAAGAATTGTGAGAATCAAATGAGACAACACACATAAAAGCTACATGTAAGTCATAAACACAACAAAAGTGTTATTATAGGATGACCTTGGTTAATCCAAAGCCTAACAGACAAGACGTTTTGAGAAAAAATTAGAAGGAATAAAAGTATTGGGACTGAAGCAATCTCCAAACTGGGCAGGCTAAGAGAAAATGAAGGGGGGGGGGAGGGAGAATCTGGTTTGTCTTGAACCTTAACACAGGTCACATAGGAAAATGAATTGTCCATCCATACAGCTGCAGAAACCACAAGAAACAAGGCTTCCTGCTTACCGTGTTGCATTTTGTGCCACACACCACTTGCCGGTGATTCAGCCACTGAGAAGCAAACACTTTGTTAAGGGTCCCAAGGTGAAACTCTCTCTCCTTCAGGAGACTGGGAAGGTGCTGTGCTGCATAACCATGCAACACTCGGTAGTAACTGGACTCATTCTGCAACCTGACTTCTCTGCCTTTCAGGTAGCAGACCAAGGACCTCTTCACTGGAGGGAGCCTTTTCCTTTTGTTTAGTGAATGATCCCAGCCAAACTGTGGAAAGCAATATCAGAAATCACAGGCTGCAGCCACTGCCGTTCTGAATATAAAACTCTATGAACATCAGTGAAAATTGGTAACCTAACCTACAGGTTTTTAAGTAATCTGCCCTCAACACAACGGAGGAAGAAACTTAATCCAGAGACCCTGTTTAACTCATAGCTCCAATAAGATGCTTACAAGACAGATTGATACGTAAGGATCACAGATGTGGAAGAACAAAGAGAGAGAGAGAGAGAGAGAGAGACAGAGACAGAGACAGAGAGACAGAGAGAGACAGAGAGAGACCGAGACCCAAAGTTTATCCCAGAACAGGCCCGGGACTGTCTACAATCATCTTCCAGAAAGACAGAATTGGACAGAAGGGATTTTCGGGAGAGGAGAGGCACCTTTTTAGCCACGGGAGGACCCGGGACACACCACATACCGACCTGGGACACATCTCTGTCCAGCCCCCTCCTCCCTCTCCGCTTGCAATCACTACAAAGCATCGAGAGGGTCGTGCGGGACCAGGCTGGCCTAGACGGGGCGGCGAGCCTGGGTCGGGACGCCCGGGTCACTAGGCCTTCCCAGCGCCCGGGCAGCCCTGGCTCCCTCGGCCGCGGCCCCCGCGCTCCAGACAGTTGCGGGGGTTCGAAAAGTCAAACCCAAACACGAGACGGGAGGGGGGAGAAAAGGACCCGAGTTGGGGCCCCTGTTTTTATCAGTCACCCTCGCCCAAAGGGGCAGCATCTGCTAGGGGCGAGGGGCTGGGCTGAACTTGGCCTTGAGCTCCAGCCTTCGCCTCGGGCCGCAGGTGAGGAAGGTCCGGCCGGAGGGCAAGGGGCCCGGGAGCCCCATCATTCGCTTTGGGGGGGTCGGGACGAGGACTGATCGCTGACATCGGAGGAAAAGGGGGCTTTGGGAGGAGGGTCTTTTTTGGTAGGGCTCGGATGCGCCCTCGGTGACAGCCCAGGCCCGGATCCCTGCAGCCCCCCGCCCCCCGGCTTTCCGCTGCCCACCCTCCGCAGGCCTGCCCTTCTGCCTTCCCGGGGGAGCCGCGGGCCTAGATCCGCCTGCGGCTGACGACGCTCCAGGCCTGCCCCCCGCTTCCGAAGCAGCCCCGACTCCCCTCTGCCCCCGCGGTCCTCGGGCCCCCGGTCCTCCCCTCTCCCGGTTACCTGATGGCCCTGGGTCCCGCTCCCGGTCCCCGGCGCTGCGGGCGCTTTCCGCTTCCTGCTAACTGTTTTCCGGGCCATAGTGGGAAACGCCGCGGCGGCCCCGCAGCCACATGGGGCGGCAGGACCGGGGGGAGCGGGGGGCGGCCGCGCTGCGGGGCATATACTGGGGGAGGGGACGGGGAACTGGGGAGGGTGAGGTGGGGGGGGAGACGCAGGAGAAGCGGCGAGGGCGGGAGGACAGAGGCCTGGGGCTGGAGGGAGGACGGGGGGGGGGAGAGGAAAGGACTGAGCGGCGAAAGCGACCAGAGAAGGAAAAAGGACGGCGAGCGACAGGCACCAAAACACCCTCCCTCTCTCCCCCGTCACCCCGTCTCCCTCGTCACCCCGTCACCCCGTCACCAGCTGCGCAGCCGTGCTTTACGGTGCGTTGTCATGGAGACACCTCCCGGAAGGGTGCAGCGGAGGACGCTGAAAAGCGTTCGGGCTGGTTGCCTAGATGCCGCCCCGCCCCCTTCAACCACCGCCTCTTTTCTCCGCCGCCTCCCCCTGGCAACAGACACTTCCTCTTCTTATAGCGTCCTCCTCCTTATCTTCTCCCCACACCTTCACTTCTCTTCTCACCTGGGGAGGAGGGAGGAGAGGGGGTGGAAGGGAGAGCGCGCTGGCGTATGCGTACCCATGTCAGCTAGGCTGTTAGCGGAAGGTTGGTCTCAAAAGGCCCAGTCCGACAAAGGCTGCCCCCTTCGTTGCTCTTAACTAACTCCGAGTCAAACTTCTCTCTCACGTCATCATCTCAGAATAGAAACAGCTATGTCACCGAATCAGAGAGTGAAATGACGTAATCACACGGATCCTAATTGATGGAGCGCTCACACATAAGGTGGCCTCCCACAAACCCTACAAGGCAGCAGAGTCACCCAATCAGAGCCCGACCTGGAGGTCATTTGGTCCAGCCTCCTTATTTGACACTTGAGAAAATTAAGGCCCAGGGAGATTAAGTCACCCGTCCAAAGCCACACAATAGTTAGTAACCATAGGGATTAGAACCCGCGTCCTTTGACACCAACTTCAGCACTAAGGTGCTTTCTTCATTCAGCAAACGATAGAACCCACCGTGCTTAAGCAAAGCAGTACCTTAGGTCCAAAGAGAAATGAGAACCAGTCCCCACCCTGAAAGAACCTAATACTCTAGCAGGAAGCACCCATGACATCCCTCCTCCCCCATTAGATGGGCTCAACAACCTCCCATATGACATCACCTCATATTTAGGCTATAATGACTGCAGAGAAGGCGGCACAGGAAGACCAATGCCAGGGCATCACACTATGGGCACTGAATCATTGTGATTAGCAGGGGGAAACACCTGACCAAACAACCAGATGCCTGCACACCATCGCAAAATCCTATTGGACGTGCCCTTTGGACTGCTGGGCTAGTGGAAAGAGTTTTGGAAGCAGAATTAGGAGCGCTGATTCAAATTCTGGTTCTGATGGTTACTGATTCTGGGATCCCAAGCAAGTCACTTCATCTCCCTTAGCCTTTGTTCTCCCATCTATAAAATGGGGATAATATTTGCACTGCCTACCTCACAGGGTTGTTGTGAGGAAAGTGCTTTATAACAACTATTAACCTATATAAATATAAGCTACTATTATTGACAGAATTCATGCCTCAGCTAATAGATAGGGTGAGGAATGTTTATTCCAATTGCAGTTCTATGAAGTTTTGGAAGGGATCTATTATGTCATTTCCCTGCTAAAAATCTTTCTACAGCTCTTCACAGACTATAAACTATAAAAAGAAGTCCAGTCTCCTCAGGGCATTCAAAGCCTTCAACAAATCAACCCCCCCAACCTGAACCACTTCTCCTGGCTCCTATCCTCTTACTGATCCTATTAATTCTGGTCCTTCTACCTAGAATGTCTGTCCTCTTCTTCCCTGACTATTCAAATCCTACCAATATTTCTCTGCCCCAGTGGAAGTCCCACTTCCTTCATGACATCTTCTCTTACTTTACCCCTCTAGACATCTGAGGTCTCCTACTCTGCATTCCTATTACATTGATAGTACCACTCATTTTGGCATTTAGTCATATACTGCCTTAGACTGTTATTTAACTCTTTGGATTGTGTCTATCTAGTCTCCCCAGAGAAAGTATAAGCTTCAACATGGTAGGTATGATGTCATGCACTTTTGTATCCCTCACAGAACCTAGGATAGCATAGATACTTGATATTGACTTATTGAACCATTTTAGTTGGGGACCGATGAATTTTAAGTATCTTGGTGACAGAGGCAAAATAAGAAATGTTTTCACCTGGGATAAGAACAGTGGGAGAGGGGGTGGGGAATACTGCAGATGACAGTTTTGGAGAGTGCTCCTTCAGGAACTTCCATTAGCCCTTCACTACTTTATTATATCTCCCTCTTCTAGAGTCTACTATCCCCTCAAGGTCTAGGGCATTGCAAGAATTATGGGGTCTCCACACCACAAAGAGGAAGAAGTTATTCTAACTCAGATGTCAATATCTGACATAAAACCTCTGCAATTTGACTCTTGTCACGGGCTTTACTTAGATGGAGATCTCCAGGATCTTATGTTTCTGCTTAAGTTCAAAAGTAATCACTCACCCAGTCAAAAAAAAGATAGAAGATTGGGGGAGGGAGGCTCTTATAAAGAGAAGTTATTCTAGGAGTCAGTAGTTATTTGCCCTTGGGGACAGCCATAATGGCCTCACTTAGGTGTGACTAAGTTACCTGACTGCTAGCTTCAGGCTTCAGGCCCCTGATACTTCCAGGAAGGATGGTTTACTCATTTGAAGAGTGCCTACATGATGAATTTGGTTTTTTTCAAAGTGAATAAAAAAAAAACAGAATGGTAGGCCACAGCCTTTCCTAGTGTAGGTCCCCCTCAGGCTTGAGCATCCACCCAGCATGGGTGATGGAGTTAAGTTAACTCTGCCAGGCAATGGAATTCATCTGAATGCCACCTCAACCCCAATTTGGTATAGCTCTGGTAGAAAATGCATCTCAGTCTTACTTGGCCAAGGTTTTCCCTCAGAGACATGCACACAGTGACTGGCAAGAGTTTCTCAGCTTCCTCCTTTAAACCTGTCATTCTAGTTCTGTCTTGCCTCACAATGCTCTGTATAGCATATTTAATAGTCCAATAACCATGAAAGAGTTTGGAATGTTGTCAAGAACCCATGAACATAGGTACATACCTCTACATCATAGGTATCTTAGTTCAATGTTAATCTTTTCTGTTTTCAATTTACAAAGCCAAATTAAAATACATCCTTTTATTAGCATAAACTTAATGTTCCCAACAAATAATAAACATAATAAAAGTAAAAATAGAGTAAATCTCCAAATAAAATCTTAAAATTTGTGCTTTGTTTAAAAAGAAAAACCATACTTAAAAAAGGGATAGATACCATTATTCATGAAATATTCAAAGACCTAGAGAAAAGCCATCAATGTTTTGGGCAGATCTCTGTAGAGGATTTATAGAAGCTCCTGAACAAGAATCATACAAGATAGGCTTAGATAGACTGTGATCCACATTGGTGGAAGAAGTATCCACATTAAAGAGATTGTATCCATTATCAAAGAAGCATGCATTTTAACATTTTTTTAAAAAAATTTGCTGTATTTCCTATTTTGAATAATGATTCACTTCCTTTGATTTTTTTTTTTGTTGGAGTCAATGTGTGTGTTATTTTTCTTATTTCTCTTATTTTATTTTACATCAATTCATTTAGGGCTTTCCATGTTTGCTCATATCCTTCGTATTTTACAGTTATATAATATTCTGTTACATTAATGTGCTGTTATCATTCAGTCTCCAGTGGTTGGACATCAGGGTTGTTTCTAGTTTTTCTTTTTTACAAATAAAGGAAGAAAAGGAGGAAGGAAAAGAAGGAAAAAAGAAAGGAAGGAAAGAAGGAAGAGAGAGAAATGATTATTTTATTTCTCTCTTGCATATATAACTAATTATTGAATCAGGACCAAGGTTTTTCCCCTTTTCTACTTCCTCATCCAGAAATCAACCATTGGAAAAATCTTGGGCAAAGACTTATCTAGGCTAAGATCTAATCAGACAGTTAAAGAAATTCTAAATTTAGGCCATCCAATCAAAGAGGCACACTTGAGGATCTAGAGGACCACATATGGCCTCAAGACTGCAGGTTCCCCACCTCTGCATTCCTATTTATTGTGTTTACTTATACAGGTCTAGGAAAATGTGGATCCTCCTTTTTGTCAGACAGGTATTATGGAAATTGATATCTCTTTGACCTAGACTTGGGTGATCCAAGTGTACCTCAAGATTCTCATTGTAATATAACCCAGCTCTCATAATATTCATTCTCTCATTAATTTTTAACCAATCAGAGTTGATTGCTACCCTCAGGAACATCTGATCTTCCATATAGGCCTTGAGCCTGCTGCCATGAGGGTCTTTGGCATTCGGGAGTGCCACTTACCTCTTTTTATTAATAACATGCTAGCCTTAAATGATAAAATGTTTAAATTACCCAGGAATTATGTGTTTTGAACTTTTTAAACATCACAGAAGGAAGGAAGGAAGAAACCTCAATATATACATGCATAATCTAGTAAAACAAATTTCCACATTGGCCATGTCAAAAACCAAAAAACATATATCTCTTTCTGCATTTTAAATTTGTCACTTCTCTGGCAGGTAGTAAATAGCATGTTTCATCTTTATTCCTTTGCACTTGAGGTCTTTCAAAAGTCTTCCAAAATTTTTTTCTATGTTATTATTGTATAAAACATACTCCCACTCAAGTTGTTCATCAGTTTATAAAGGTCTTCCCAGTTTCCTCTGAAACTATCCATTTCATAATTTCTTATGGAACAATAATATTACATTACACCACAATTTGTCTAACCATTCACCAATTTAAGGACACCCCCTTTGTTTTCAATTCTGGCCACTGCTATAAATATTTTTGTATGTATAGGCTCTTTTCCTCTTTTTTTTCCATCTTTCTTTGAGGAATGTAAGCCTGGTAGTGATATAGCTGGGTCAAAGAGTATGCAGAATTCAGTAATTGGGAGGGGGCACAGGTCTAGATCGCTTTCCAAAATGTCTGGGCCCATTCACAACTCCACCAATATTTCATTAGTGTTATTCTTCTTCCCCTCCGCCCCACCTCAGGCCCTCCAACATTTGTCATTTTCCTTTGTTGTCATCTTTGCCAATCTGATAGGTGTGAGATGGAACTTTAAAATTGCCTTAACTTGCATTTCTCTATGAGTGATCTAGAGCATTTTTTCCTATGGTTGTTGATAATTTGTATTTATTCCTTTGAAATTCCTTTGAAAACTGCCTGTTTATATCCCTTTTCCATTTATCTAC